TTGGATGACGTCTGAATTGAAGAGGAACGTACAGGAAATTGAGATAGAAATGGGCACCAGAGAGGAAAAGCTGGAGAGGGTGCCTGGTATACACGGAGGGTGAAAAGGGACGTAGCCCTATTGAAATTGGATATAAAGGTCTCCCGCTTTCAAAGAACTGCTGGCAGGTGGATAAAAAAAAATAGCATTTCCCCCCCCCTCTTTTACTTTTCACCAACCTTGCTCACTTTAAGACGGTGGATTTCAACTCCCAGAATTCCTCAGTCAGCAAAGATTTACCAGAATTGGGCACCGCTAACGACGAGAAGGAATGTAAATAGTGTCAACGTGTCAGGCAGCGTATCACCCCAGCACCAATGGAGCAGCGGAATGCGCGAACTACTTTATCGTCTTTTTTTTTTAGTTTGATAAAGTAACTTTCTTAATAGATGGCGGGAACGCGATAGACGTAATATATCTTGACTTGAGCAAAGTGGGGGGGGGAATGGCTGGCGGAGGAATTCTGGGAGTTGTAGTCCACAAGTCTTCAAGTTGACAAGGTGGCATTTGGATCCTCAAAAAATGTCATGCATGTATTCTAATTTACAGCCCAAATGTTGGAGATGTGGAAGTTTAGATGCAACTTATTTTCATATTTGGTGGACGTGTAGGGAAATAAAACCATTTTGGATCAAGGTTTGGTGGAATATTCAAAATATTTTTAAGAAAAAGATAAAGTTCACACCGCAGTTATTTCTATTAGGTATTATGGGAGATTTGGATGCTAAAGAAATGAATCTGATGTTAAATCTTATAACAGCTGCAAGACTATTGGTAGCTCAAAACTGGAAGATGGATCGTTTGCCTACTGTAGAAGAATGGTCTCTTAAAGTGTCAAATTTAGCAGAAATGGCTAAGATTTCTGCTTATTTAAAGGATCAAACACAGGAAAGATACATTTCGGTTTGGAGAAGATGGATAGATTATATTCAGAATAAATATGGGACTGAAAAGTTCCATTTGGTGTTTGAGTAAATTTTACAGTATTGTTATTGTGAATATTTTATTATATTTTTTTATAGTTTTTATTATATTTTATTATATTGATATTATTATTATTCTGAGTAGTAATTTTGTTTAATAATTAAGTTGATTATTTGTTTATTATTGTGTTTAATTTTGAATTATCTAAATTTATTTTAAAAGGGAGTTAAAGTGTGTTATAGATTTGGTTACATAATTAGTTGGATAATGTTATTTAGATTATGATTAATATATTTGTAACCCTGTGAACAGCTCTGGGAAGTGGGGGGGTGGGGGTTTTTTTTTGGGGGGGGAAGGAGGTTTATTTTGTAAATGTTATAAAACTTTTAATAATAATAAAAAAAAGTCTTCAAGTTGACAAGGTTGGAGACCCCGGACTTATAGAAAGGAGCTTATATTGGAAACGTCTCCAGGAGGTCACAAAGCCCCTTAATAATAATAATAATAATAATGATGATGATGATGATGATGATGATGATGATGATGATGATGATGATGATGATGATGATAAAGCTGGAAGGGACCTTGGAGGTCATCTAGTCCAACCCCCTGCTCAGGCAGGAAACCCTGTACCATTTCGGACAAATGGCTGTCCCTTATTAACAGCAACCTTCCTTTGGGCGCGGGTTCGGTTTTCCCGGACTGAGGAATCGTCCCACCGCTTGGCGGTTTATTTTACAGGTCAGCGGCGGCTGGAAGAGGCCTTGAAACGGCGGAAGGGTCAAAGCCAGCGTCCCAAGTCCTGGGTCTATAAGGTGAGTGGCTCAGGGCTGAACTGCGGGGTCCTGGGGGGGTCCCTGAGCTGGGGGGGTTTCTTGGCAGACGTTTCGTGACCCAACTAGGGAACGTCATCAGTGATAGAAGGGAGGGGGATTTGTGGAGAGGAGGAGGAGGAGGCAGAGGAAGAGGAGGAGAAGAAGAAAAGGACTGAGGGGTCCTTGATGATCTCTGAGCTGGGTGGTTTTCTTGCAGACGTTTCATGACCCAACTATGTAATATTATCAATGCTAGAAGGAATGTCGTT